TGTTCAAAACTGAGCTCCAGCACAGTTCTCCCTCAACCCACAGCTGCATCCCCACTTTGATCCAGGATGTCTGGCAGAGCAGGGAAAGGTCTTTCCTCTCTGCCATTCCTTAGAGCCAGGGTCCATCCAGGGCATCTTACCTTGCTGAAACTCCAGGGTCCAAGCCCGGGTTTATTCAGTGCCTCACAACCAAGAGGTACTCTGAACCCAGCTGGGGAGGAGAAAGGGTTCCATTGCTAAATTACCACCAAGAAAAGGATGGAGTGTGAGACTTACAGCTATCCAATTCCCCCTGCATGAATTCCAGCTTGCAGCTGAGCCTCAGGTTTAAGTCTAGCCTGAATTCAAGTAGTGTCTCCTCAACCCATCCATGGCTGGCCAGGAGATAAAAGGAGAAGATTAGCAGGCAGGAGGAGAATTTGCTCCTGGAATGGGTCACCTGGGTGTGGGAACTGAATCCATTAGACAAGGAAACTGGAAAGACATCCCTCTCTTCTTCTCAGTCTTAAAGAGGCTAGACCTGTGGTCTGGGGAATCACCTGCTCCTCCCATGAGTGCACCAGCAAACAGTGGAGTGTGTCTGAGCAGTTTGGTGCCATTCACTCAGACCCTGCTCAAGGGGTCTGCAAGGGTGCCCCAGCCGAGGCCCCATGGGGCAGCTTCTGGCTCTCCACCCCCACCTCTTCCTAAACAAGAGAGAGGACAGAGAGGAGAGACCTTTCCACAGACCATCAGATGGGATCTACTCTCCTTTCTCCAGCCAACACACCTAAGTGAAGAGTGGCAAGGACAGACCACAGACAGCTCAACCCCTCAGCATCACCAGGGCCAACCAAGACTTGCCTGGGACCTGCTCTGTCTCGTGGAAAGAGAGAACTGAAAGCAGAGACCCAAGGGAGTTGTTTCTCCTGATGGTTTTCTCTTTTACTTCGAGTGGAGCCTTCTTATAGCTGTCAATGATCAACACCATCCTGATCATACTCCTTTCTAACTGCAAAACCTCCCCTCTAACTTCTTTCAACCTCAAGAGAGGTTTGAAAAGTAGCTGGCAGAGACCACTTCAATCCATCCATGTGAGCCAGACCCTGAAGGCACACTGGGGAGCCTTTCCTCCTCCTCTCTCCTCTGCCAGGACAGCAACACCTAACCACCAGCCTTTGTGGGCTGTCTCATGCCTACACAACTCAGCCCTGGCTGAGCAGGGACAAGCTGCACCGCTACAAGTCACATTTCTCAGCCTGAACTAGTGCTTTGCACCATGGCAGCTGCAGCTGGCAACAGATGGCCAAAAGCCTCAGGTGCAGAAGAGAAGGATTTGGGAAATACGCTGTGCTGGCTTGACTAAGGGCTGCATCCTTCCCCTCCACTCTTCCCCTTCCTGCCCAGACTATTTTTCTCCCCCAGGGGAGCAAACACTACGTGCTTCTGTTCCAGAAGTACTGGTGACCCACCAGGTGTGCTCAAGCACAGCCGCCACCAGAGCAGATGTATTTCCCAACTGGATTTACTGTCCTCCTCCCTCACTGAGAAGTCCCTCTATTTTTTAAGACTGAAGTAACCAGAAAGAGGAAGTTGCATCACTCAGTAAAGGTCACATTCCTTCCCCTTTTAGTCCAGATTTAGCACCAGTTTGAAGCCTCAAGATTCAAGTGAATACTAGGCAAGACAACCACAGCTTCTGGACCAATGCAGGTTAGAGCAGAAGTGGGTTTTTGGTTAAATAACCCAACCTACTGCATGCATCCCTGTCCTCTCCTGTCTGAAGTCCTACAGCTTTTCCTGGAAAAAGCAAACAATTCTTTCAATGGCACCTCCAAAATACGGGGTCCCCAAATTAAGACTTGTGGACTACTAATCACCACAAGTAGCCTCAAAGAGGTCTAGGGGACCCACTTGCATTTTTGGGGATGTTGCTTCATATGGGAACCTGTTGGTCCACAGGAAAACTGGAGGAGAGCTGACAGGGCTAAAGGCAAAGACTAAGCCTGTCTCAGATTTGGCAACACACCTTAGGACTAACGACCCACTCACTCAGCAGCCCTAATTTTCCCAATCAGGAAACAGAAGTGGTGGTGGGATATCCAACTTTAGGCATCCAAGATGGAAGAGGTGAGCATCTGAACGCGAGAGCCCTCACGGAAAGCTAGGTGGAGGCAGAGGGGAGCAGACTCATTAATCTGTTATGAGGAGGGAATGGGGAGGGAAGTGATGAGGGAGATGGGACAGGCAGTCGACTGCAGGTCAGAAACAAGCCCTCCCCTAGAAAATGAGACCCAAAAGGAAAAAAAACCCCACACATTAGCAGATGTTATCAGTGGTACCACTACTTCTAATAAACAGCATGTCCTTACCAAAAAGATTTGCAAGAATGTTTGTGGCCGAGGACCTAAGGAACTTGCTACAGAGATGTGAGATCAGAGGTCAGCTCAATCCTGCAACATAAAGGTGGCAAACCTGGGTCACAGCAGATCAGCCGCATGGTCGGGATGCATGGAGTCGGGGAGAGGGATGGAACTGCTGAGGGAGAAGGATGCAGGACCAGGCTGAGCTCAGGAGCTTACCTGGCAGCAGCCCTGCCCCCTTACACCACCTGCAAGGCCTGAAAGGAAAAGCTGCTGATGCCGCAGTGAAGATTTGGGGGGAAAAAATAAGCCAGCAACAAAGCAAGACACACACAATAAAAAAAATATCACAAAGCTGCCTTAAAGAAACAACACAAATATGGAAGAGGAGAAAATAAAGAAGCAGTAGGAAAAGCATGTCTGCCAATGGCCCTCAGAGTAGGAGGCTGCTGAGAGCCTCCAAGGGACCCCGATGTCCAGGCATTGTCCTAGGTGCACTGTCCTACTGCAGACAGACACGATCAACGATGCCTGGGAGGTCCCACGTGCCCAGGAAAGGTCCACAAGCCCCTGGAGCTGGTTCTACAGTCCTGAGTACAAAAGCCCCATCCCACTGCTGTCCATAGGCAATGTCCCCTCAGTGTCCCCAGACCCTCAGGGTAACAGCAGGAGCATTGGTTGCCACAGAAGAACCAGCTGAAGGCCCTAGAGGACTCATGGCCATCCAAACCTGAGCAGCAATTGCTCAGCTGGTTTGGATGGAGCTGCTGGTGCAAAGGGTTTGAATTTGCCTGCTGCAGAAGGGGTTTTGGGGGTTTTTGTCTGGTTCTTTTTGCATCAGGGCTTAGCAGGATCCTGGGAAGCAATTCCCGTTGAGCCTCACAGGTTTCACTCACATTCACTCAGTTCATTCCACCACCACCCTCCCCAAGTGAAAAATACAATGACGCTAACAGACCTGCTTAGCATTTTACAGATTGGGGGCTCCAGATATGATAAAGATATAACAAAAGGAAAGCAAACAACATTTTTCCTGATGCCACCAGTGCAGAATCAACCCATTGCCAGAGGAAACCAGAGTGTTTCTGTTGCTGACCCCAGAGCACCCAGACCACGCAGTTCTTTGCTCCTGGCAGTGCTACAGGGTGGGTGAAGCCCAAGATTTAAGGACAACTGGGAGCCCAGAAGCCAGGGGAGAAAGGAAAGACATCGCTTGATGGGAAAGTCGGATTTGACATGGAGAGAGTGGCTGTGGGGTGCAGGCTCGGCTAGTGAGGGCAGCCTGCAGGGAGCCCTCTGCACCACCCGAGTCTCCCATAGGACCAGGGTGAGGACATGTCAGTGCCAGCCCTCGGGCAGGTCTCTGGATTTACACTGCACACCACAGTGCCCTGCTCATGCCACGGAGTGAAACCCTGGCCAGACCAGCCTCCAGCAACATGGAGATGTTGCCCAGAGGCCTCAAGGCCAGGCTTGCCAGCAGGATCATGCCTGACCCTGGGGCAAGGTGTGATCCCTCCTCCTTGCCTTCCCTGCTGTGCTTGTTTCCACTTAGCCCGTGTCAGGCCTTTATACCATGCCAGCTGTGGTGGTACCCAAACCACAGCACTACAGGCAAGTGGTGACAAATTCTTCCAAATCATCCCAGGAGGTGCACACCACTGGGTAGAGAATGGAGTCCTACAGCCCTTGGGACAGCAGCAGAGAGAACATCTCCCAGGCTTGCCCTGAGCCACCACTGGGAAATCAATTCCCTGCAGCTCTCCCAAGACAGAAGGGGTACGAGCCGCACACGCCTGCTAGGGAGAAGCCTGCCACAGAGACTGCTTGTAGGACAAAGCCCTTGGCTGCAGGGTTTGGCGTCTCTGGTTTTGTGTGAGTGCTGGGTGCCCGTGGGCTGAAGGACTCCTTCTGCATATGGGCAGAGACTTCACACTGACAGCCCAGGCTGGCTTTGGATAGGGCTTTGCAGCTCAAGGTGCAAGGTTGGGTTTGATTTCCTTTGTATAGGCTGGGAAATCTTGAGCTAGAAAGCTTGATTTCGGTAACGGGACAGGATCTTCCCTTCCTCAGGCAGGGCTTAAGCTCAGGAAGAAACTTTAGCAAAAAATGTGAGGACAATTCTCCTCCAGCAGGGCTGCTATGTGGCAAATCCCCACCATCACTTACAGCTGAGGGGCCAGCCCTACGTACGGACATTCACAATCTCAGCCCCGTCACAGTGAACTCTAAAGCTCCACACTCACTCACTTTGCTCCAGTATTTCTGGGCTGTGCCCATGTCCTCAGTTTGGAGGCCATCCACAGGCTAAAGGCGGGGCGAAGTAGCTAGAGATCAGGTCCTCAACAGATGTAAATCAGTGTGGTACTAACAGGATCAGGGGAACTACATCAGCTTGCATCAGCTGGGAAATCTGGTCTAGGCATCCAGAGAAGGAGCTTGAACAGCCCCGAGGGTATATAGGGCCACAGTGTCTTCATCTCCTAAATCAGTGACTTTCTTTGTTCTCATGTCTTCCTGGGTGGGAGAGGTCTGGACCATGGTGCAATGAGACGTTGACCCCAAGGTAGTTTGGGGAGAGAGACATCTGAACACACCCAGCTTGCTTCAAGAGGATGCCAGCCAGATGGCCTCGGGCAAGAAGAAAAAGGAAACTCAAACTTACCTTTGTTCTTCCTCGAGTTCTTCTTTGGTCATCATTGACTTGTACTGGTTTCCCCTCAGCTTTCCAGGACTGTATTTAAAAGAGAATGTCTCATCTGCAGCTGGAGAGTGGGAGAGGGAGACACAAAGAAGAGCAAGAGATTCTGTGAGCCAGAGACCTCCCAAGAGCAACAGTCAACAGCAGTGGGCTTGTGCCTTAAGCTTCTCGCTGACCCCTGCTCCCACACATGCACCCTAACCACTATGGCCACTCCAAAAGATATTTCCACAGTCAGCTCCAGTCTCCAGAAAGCCTGGGCAGTGTCGGGGAAGCTGTGCGGATTGCAGTGGAGAGCCAAGGGCTTTCTGGATGGAGGACGGCAGGAGTCCCAGCTGCAGACAGCACTGGCAACAGCAAGGGCTGCTGCAAGCGAGCGGCCCTGCTTGGAAGCAGATACCAGTAAATCCTACAGCACAGGAACCATATGCTATTGCTCTCTTTGGATTCAAAGCCTTGCAGGCCCATCTTGGCTTATCAAGACATGCTAATCCTGCCCTGATTAGCTCATTGCATTTTCCGCTTCTCCTTTCCAGACTTGCATTCCTTCTCTCTCTCTGCATGTCCAGGGGCCCTTTCCCATGCTTGGTGCTCACAGATGGTGCCATGAACAGAGCTGTCCCAGGCCACGCAGCTCAGCAGCTCTCCTGCAAGCTGTGACAAAGCTTGGGAAAAAAGGAGGTGCCACATTCCGAATCCCTGGGCTGCAAACTGAACTGAGTCAAGGCAGCCCCAGGAGCACCAGTACAGTTGGGTCCAAGTCCCTCTGTCACCAGTCAACAGAGCTGAAGAGGAAACCAAAGTCTCCTCCTCCAGGCCTGGGTGCTCTCCTGCCCAGCTCGCCAGCCTCAGCCCTGTGCTAATTAGAGCACCAAAGCTCACAGACTCTGAGCCAAAGCCGATCCTTTTCCAATCGGATTTTGTTCGAGCACTATTTGCTTTTAAAAACATCTCCCCTGCTTTATCTTCCTACAGACAGGAGAAAACAACAGGAGTGGAGGTCAATCCAAAGGGCAGCCCAAGAAGAGCGGCTGCTTTAGGTAGTTACCTTTATTGGTTATCTGTGGGCTGGTTATCTGTGAGCCTTTAACTCCCAAGGACTGCAGGACTCAGCTGCTGCACATCAAGCTATCTAGCACTGCTGTTTCCATATCCACCCAGTAATATCTGCTGTTTCCACCAACCCTCAGAGCCCTGGGGGTGCTTCTGAGGGGTCCACAAAAGATGATGTTACTGTAGAATCTGCGTGGCCCTGAAAAATTGTATGTTACCCACAACCCAAATATCCAGGATGCTACCTCCCAGCACCAGCATGACCCCAAAAGTGGTGAAACTCCTCTGCCTTCTGCAGCAGGAGAGAAAGCCCCAGCTTGGACATAACCTATTCCCTGTCCCCGGCCACCTAGGAAGCCCCTTCTTATCCTCACCGCTGCTTTTGCAGGCACAACATTCAGGACAGCCTCTCCTCCTCCACCTGCCCAAATGAAAAACACCCCACAGCCCCTCTCCTCCCTTCCCAGAAGGATTCAGAATCAGCAGCTTCCCCTTACTTTCTGGTCAATACTCCCCTTAAGGATTTTCTCCTCCTGTCCAGGGTCAACTGCTTGATTTAGCGAGTTCTCCAACCCCAAGCTCACGCGTGCACTTGGCTGCTGCCCGAGCTCTCGCAGACCTTGGGGCCTCCCACGCGAAAGGAAAGTCAGAGCCTCATTGTGTAGATGGGGGGCATGGGGCTGAACGTGCCGACCGCTGCGAGGTCACTGCCACCGGTGTACAGAGTGTGCCTGGAGTGATGTTAGCAGGCTGGGAATTTAACAGAAACCTCCTCCCTGCAGATACCCACATTTCCTCCTTCTTCTCTACGTCTCTGTGTCCCTGACCCTAGGGAGCTTCCCTGGGAAGTCCCGGTGGATTACTGCTCCGTTACTGATCCAGAGTGTTTCTCTAATCCCAAAACACCATCGCCTGGGGGAACAACGAGGCAAACCCTTTCCCTAGCATCTTCACAAGTATCCAAACACAAGCACCCCCATGCTCCGATCCCACAGCCCCAGACATTCAGCTCGGCCATATCCCACTTCCCTCAGTGGGAGAACCCTCCAAATCGGCCAGCAGACAAGTCTGGCCAGCTGGAAACAAGCAGCAATGCTGTGGCTTATCAGCCCCTCGGGTGGCCCTAACAGTGCACGGGAAGAAAATTCAGCTGGCTGATGCTTTGGGAGATATTAAGAGAAAGAAGAAAAAAAAAAGAGGGTGTAACATCCTGTTTCTTACCCTGATGCAGAGCTGGAGCCAGTTCACTACCTCTGTATAGCTCGCCTGATTTCAAGGACAATTAAGATAACTTTTTTGTGCGTGGTTTTCTGCCAAGTAGATTGAGATTTGGGATTTTGCCTGTCCCGAAAAAAGGGCAGTTTAATTGCCACCCTGCCAGAAAAGAACAAGGGAAGTGGGAGGCGAGGAGGCTACCCACCTCCCTGCCCACATGTTGTGGCTAAAAAGGAGCCAGCATGTGGCTTTGGAAACCACTAGATGTTTTCTGAGCTCAGGAACTTTCTTTGCAGACTTAAAACAAACTTCAGGAAACACACGGAAAAGGGGAGGCCGGGTTTTTACGTGGACAGTGAAAACACTACAGAAATACGAGGTGACCTACTTACTCAGAGCCTCCGTGAGTTCATATTAAAGAAAACATTTGTCTTCCACCTCTCTGCCCTTGTGCTGCCAGCACTGTGGCCCTGGGCTCGCAGCGTGAAAGCAGCCCCTTGAGTGCACCTCTGCTCCAAACACGCTCGCTCCAGCACACCCAGGTACCTGCTTCCCCCCTGCCAGCTCCCCAAAGCAGGGAGAAGGCTGCTCTGGGGGCTTTGGCCACCATGGCAGTGTCCCAGGCTGCCTATGCCTTCCTGGTGTGCCCAGGGGGAACCTCTGCTCACAGGCTTGCCAGGCAGCAGCTCAGTGGCTTGAGTTGGGCGAAGACCAAGCAATGCACAGGAGAAATGGTGAAGGAAAAAGCGAGGTTTCTCCCCAGCAAAGCCAGGGCACCACCATTATTCCCAGTTCATGCCGCTCATCATCGAGCTGAGCCATCGCTTTACCTAGTCCCGTTAAAACACCTCAAAAATGATGTAAATAATTCAGGAGAGGGGTTGGTGGCTGTCTGCAGGAGATGCTTAGGGAGGATGCTGGCATAGCCATGACCCATGGCCAGGCACTGTCACCTCCCCTTGCTCCCAAGCCACAGCCGCTTTGGGGTGATGCACAGCAGTGCTGGAGCAGCCCTGAAACAGGGCTGAACCGAAGGAGGCAGACCCTGGCAGAGCAGCGTTACTGAGCATCCATTTGGCAGGATACATCCATCATTCCTCAAACCAGCTCTCCCACAGCCCCACACAGTAACATCCCCAACCACCAGTGCTGCGAGGAAGCCTAAAGGGGTGCACTAAATGTCTTTTGGGAACCCCATCTCCAAAGGCCCCCACCTTGCAGGCATGGCACCAGGATTAAAATTCGATTCTCTGTGGCATTAGGCGTAATCCTCCCGAGCCAGGGGATTGCCACACAGCGCCTTAAACAGGGCAAGCAAAAAGTGGGGCAGGGAAGGGGGAATGCCCCAAGCTCTCCTGCTGCCCAGGGCCACCCCGGGCAGGGGCTCCTAGGGACATCCCAGCACCTCTGGGGCTGCTCAGGAGAGCAGAATCCCCTTCAGACTACACACACACTCTTGCTTGGCACCACCTGTTTAATTTTCTTACTAGTGCAGCAGTTGTTGCCCCAATTAGTCAATTAATCGTTTTCCAATCAACTAATTGGCTAATCAGTTAAACATGGCTCTGATAAAGCCCTCGGAGATCAGCCTGGATGTGAGCAAGGAGTTTTTGGGGCAGCTTCATCACAAAGCTACCCCATGGCAAACAGCCCAAGGGCATCTGGGGAAGCAAATGGGCGCTGCTGCTGGGGTAGGAATTTCCTCAAGGAAGGAGACCATCCCTAAGCACTCGGGGGTGCAGCCCCTCAGACCCGTCCATACCCTCCCCACAGGGTGCTGGCTTGCTTGGCACTCACCATCCTCATCCTCCGGCTCTTTCACCACCAGCTTCTCATCTTCTGAGTCCGGATCTTCCTCCTGGAGGAGTTAAAAACAGCAGCCATGAGAAGGTGCTGTGCTAAATAACCTGCACCAGAGCCTGCAGGGCAGGGAGGCAGAGACTGGAGCTCCCGAGGCGAGGGCTGGGTACCCCTTCCCTGCCTCCTTCATGGAATAGGCCAAAATGATGCTCGCTAATGAGCGAGGTTCGTTAGTCTGCTTTGTTATCACTTGTCAATGGGAAGGATTTGGCCTTGCTTACTGCATTTCCACCCTAAGGCTGCAAAATGCAAGTGCCTCCCCGTAATCAAGGCGATATTAAGGTTTTTAAGAAGAACCCTGCTTCCTGGTGTCCCCAGGCACAGCCTTGTGCCTGAGCACCCTCCCAGGCTGCCAGCCCCTGCCAGCACCCCCTGTGGCCCCTATCCTGCCTGGGGACATGCAAGGGACTGAGCCACAAGCTGCAGGGACTTCTTCTGTGTGCCCCCAGGCCAGGCTTGGAGGGACCATCCCAGCGCTAGGAAGAAGCAGGTCCCCAGCAAAAGCCACCTTGCAGCCACGGGCCAAGCAGCTGCTCAGAGGCACAGGGGCACTCACCAGCTGGGACCAGTGGTCCAAGGCAATGCTGGCTCCTCTAAGACATGCCTGCCCACGCACACCATGGTGGCACGGCTGATCTCTGGAGCTCAGACAGGAGCAGCAACAGCATCTTATGTTTTATAAATGCAAAGCAATGTTGGAAGTTTTGGGGGTTGCCTCCTACAAGCTACAACAAAGCATCAAGCCAGGTTCCTTCCCCTTGTGGCACACACAGCAGAGAGAGTTGTGCAAATGGCAAACAGGGAGGGAGAGGACTGCTCCGGCTCTGGAGATAAGACAGGGACACGTGGCAATGCCCCCACGTATGTGACTTCCTCCCACAAAGCACAGCACCCAGCACCCTGGCTGCAAACCTCCGCAAGCCAAGCCTGGAGGTCGACAGCACCTGGAGCACACGTCCTCCTGCATCCTCCCTGGCCCCATGCATTTGATTCAAAGTGATGGGGCTGGCGTGCAAAGGGCAAAGCACATGGGCAAGAGGGGAAGGAGCATGATGGGAGCCTGGCAAGCCGCCACGCTGTTGAGGACAAGGGAAACGACAGGGTGAAGGAGACCCAAAGGAAATTAAAACAGTCCGAGAAGGATCCTGCGCAGAGCCGAGCGCTGGCTTTGCAGTGCACAGCTCCAGCTAAACTGCTGGAGCATGGTATGCAGCCCTGACCCAGAACTGGGTTACTTTCTCATCGGTGAGGAATGCGCATTATTCACAGCCATTTGGCTTCTTGTTGCCACCCGGCTCCTGGGCTCCCCAGAAGGACACGCTGCCGTGATCCCCGTCCCCTGCAGCCACCGCTATTTTGGGCCATGCTTCCAAACATGGGCACTTCCCACCAGACACCCGGGTTTCCCCCGGGGATGGCTGAGAGCAGGGCAGCACCCAAAGGAGAGGCTCAGGGAGGGGATGCTCAGCCCTGGCCCTGGGGACTCGGCCACAAGCCTGGGGCAGTGGTTCCCAGTCTCATCTGTCTCTCCCTGTGAGCCAGGACACCCTCAGGGAGACCCAACCCTCCAGGAGCCCAGGCGTTAGGAACTGAGCATTTAACAGTGGAAACACATATGAAATTTGAGTGCCAAACCTCCAAGGAAGGAAGATATCTCTGCTCCAACCCAGAAGAAGAAACATTTGATGGGAGCAGAGGGGGAGCGGCCAAGGACGCCAGGCTGGCAGGCAGCAGCATCATGCCCTGGCCGTGCTGGGAACCCCCGGCTCGTGGCAGCCGGTAGCTCACTGCAGCTCAACATTTTTCTGCTTGGATGGCTTAGAGGCAGATGCCAGCACCTCCCTTCCCCCTGCGCTGCAGCTCTGGCCTCACCATCCCCGTCCGTCTGCCTCGCTGGGCTGCCTGCTGCCCCACAGCCCCCCAGGCTGCCTTAGCGTGACCCCACTCGCTGATCCCCACGGGGGCCAGGCATCGCTCCCCGCACATCCGAGAAGCACATTTGCACCTGGAGCACTGCTTCTCACTGCTTTAAATGGACCAAGCCATTAAAAGCCCACCCAACCCCCCCCAGGGGGAGCGCAGCAGGCAAGCTTTGCCCCCCCAACCCTCCATGGCCACTCCTACCCTGGGACGATGTCCCACCCATGCATGGACACCAGCACACTCTCCGCTGTGCCACCCTCCTCCCCAGCCCAGCTCTCCGTCCCACGCACCTCTGCCTTGCTGGAAAGCTCTGCATGGCCGCATCCATCCTCCACTGGTCCCGTGTGCCCGAGGCTGGACCCAGGTGAGGCACCCAAAGGTGGTATCTGCAAAGAGGCAAAAGCTTTGAGCACAGACCTCTGAGCCCTCCCCGTGGCTCAACCAGCCCCAGCAGCATTAGCACACATGGACAGATGCCCGCATGTGGCCAGCAGCCTGCCTTGCCCTGGTGCCCAAGCCCATGCTGCCTCCGATCCGTGTGCCAAGCCACAGCATGACTGCTGGAGAGGGGAACACCAGAGACCTTCGGTGCCCAGCCCTGGAGCTGGGGTTTGGAGCTCATGAGCTGCCCTCTGCAGCAGCCCCAGCCCGCAGGACTGGGACCCTTGCAAGGAGCCATCGGTGAAGGGGGGGGCAGCTGGGCCAGCACTGGGCTCGGCTGCCCAGGTGTCCTGGCAGGGCTGGAGGCGGCTGCCCGGGATGCTGATGCAGCAGATCAGGGCTAGCAGGAGGGGAGAGGAGAGGAACAGCGCAGTACGCTCAGTTTGTTAATGCTTGCAGGGCCTGCTCTGCCAGCTGCCTTCTCCATCGCAGGATAATACCCCCCCAAAACCCTCCCAACCCCCTGCCGCAATCCCAGAGCTGGGGCTTCCCTGCCCTCTCAGCCTCACATCAGCTTTGAATGCAGAATGGCCTCAACCCCCCCACAAAGCCTTCCTTCCCCTGCCCTCTCCCAGCCCAAACGCTTTTCAGCTGAACCTTTCCCTGCTGCGCTGGGAGGGCGGCCACGGAGGAGGATACGCGTGGGCAGGGAGCGGGGACAACACGTCCGTTGGCCTTGCAGCAAAAATACCAGTGCTGGGCTGGTAGCAGCCTCCGGGCTGACTTCAAAAAAGTCATAAGGGACAAACCCCCCCACCCTGAGCCTGGCTCTGCCCCCTGCCTCTGCCAGCCAGGGTGGAGGGGAGAGCCCCCCCTGCCTGGAGCACCCTGGCAGCCCCAGGAAGCCTGCCCCAAATTTCAGGGCTCCTCAGCTCTGCCATGGCCGGTGGGTGCTGCTGTGCCGGTTCCCCCCACAACCATGGGGTAAGAGCAGCTGAGCCAGGGGCTGCCCCAGGCATGGGATGCTCTGCAAGAGCAGGGTAGCGTCCTACAGCTGAGGAACGGAGCGGGAAGGTGTTGGGGCAACACTGGGAGGCTTGACAACCAAAGAGGACATTAAAGCACCCCAGGCACTGCTCCCCTGTATGAAACACAGCCCAGGGGCAATACGAGGAGACTGTTTTGAGTAGTGGGGAGTGAAGAAAGCATGGACCAGGGCCAGACAGCAGCAGGAGCTGCTGGAGAAGCAGGGACCCGAGTGCTCCAGCCGCCAGCCCAGAAGCCAGCATCTCTCCACAACTGCACGCCAAACAAGAAAGCCTCTCTGCAGCAAAAAAGGCTGACAAGAAGCGCTGCAGGGAGACCATGCACATCGTTATCCGGGAGCATCTGGAGGAGACTGGACACGGGCTGCCCAGGCCAGCTGCTGCGGCGAACAAAGATTGCATTGCCACCAGCACCGGAGAGGGGACGTGTTCGGCGGCAGCTGCCTGGCCCCGAGGCCCCACGGGGCGGGGAACGTGCCCTGCGCTCCCAGCCAGCTCCTGCGTGCAGGCAGGATGGACCCAGCCCACTTCCCAGCACATCCCATGCCCGCTTACATCCCAAATTGTACCTCTGCACAGCTTTCCAGGGGCTTTGGTGGGCCCAGCGCCCACCACCGCAGGGTTAAAATCCAGCAAGTCATTTACCTTTAATACCAATGCAGCAATGCATCTGCCCTGGCTTTTGGCAGGTCTTGGCTTTAGAGCCGAAGCATTTCTTGGATCATCAGACACACATTTTTGCCCTTTAGCTTCCACAGCCAACAAGTGAGATGCCCACGCATGAAGCTGACTCAGGAATGAGGCCGAGAACCCCAGGGACATTTTGGGCACAGGCAGCCCCGACCACAGACAGCCCCAAGTTATGCAGGGGAAGACGGCTCAGACACAGGAGCTTGGTGTCGTTTCCCCCCAAATCCTCCCTCATGGCTCTGCTGCCGTGCGAGCCCTCTCCCAGCCCTATGGGAGGTGGAGGCTGGGCTCCCCTTCACAGCATCATCTGGTTTTCAGCTCATTTCTGGCCATTTCCTCCTTGTTTCCTCCATCCCTGGCACAAACGCCCCTGAGTAATGGGTTTCCCTTCTCAGAAGGGACACAAGGAACCCATGGAGCTGGGTGCCTGGGTTTCTCTCCCTGTCCCCAATCACAGGGACAGCCCTGGCACCTACGGGCAGGATGGGGACAAATGAGTACCCCATTCCAGCTATGGGAAAAGGGAAATCCCAGGCTCCAAATCAGGGGAAGAAAATTGTCTTGGATTAAACTCCCACTCCCGGGCCCTGTGTGTTGCCATTTATGGCTGCACTTTCTGCTCCAAGCCTGATGCAAGATGTTGCAAGAGGGAAAGAAAGCAGACAGGAGACAGCCAGCCAGAAAGAGAAAAGCCAGGAGGAAAAGGGGAAGGAAGAAGCCTTTACAAAAAGAATAAATAATAATGTTGGGCAGAGTTTAGCAAAGCAAAGCAGCTGCTATGTCGGCAGCACCCTTTCACCCCACCGCTGCAGCTCTCCATCCTCCCACCAGCCAGAGAAGCAGAGGAGTTTTCCTGCCCCAGGAAATGGTCCTGCCAGCCCAGGGGGGTCTGGGGGGCTCTGCCTCCTGCAGAGGCAGCACTTTGGCCGGTCTGACCCCACCAGAGCACAGGGACCATCTGCTCCCACCAGTCCCCCCCATCACCACTGCAGGCAAGGACGAGGCACAGAGTGGCCAGGGCCCTGCTGAAGCTCCGGGGCCATCCGGCCCCCCGGTGAGGGGTCAGGCAGCACCAGGTCTGATTAGGAGAACACCAGTGTGTCCACGACTGGGATGGAAGGGAGGGCACAGGCTCCCCAGGACGGTGACACACGCCCTGCCTTGATTCCCAATTTGCAGACACTGCAAGAGATGATGCATTTGTTATCAGCACAGACCGCACCGGCTGAGAGCCAGGGCACATCCGAGCAGTTACGGGTCCAGCGGGAGAGCCCTGCATCCCGCTGGCAGGGGCCTGTGCCGCTGCCAAGGCTGCGACGAGGGGTAGCACATCACCGCACCCCCCCCTCAGGCTGCGGGGTGGTGGAGCTCCTGCCCCAGCCCTGTGGCAGCACAGAGGCAGCCTGCACAGCTGCCAATTAAAGCCAGACTAATTAGACACCCTCTCCCCTCTAGCACTCGGGAAGGCAGACGCGCGGTATTAGAGGGGGAGATGCTGACTTCTTAAATGTAAAGAGTCCCTGCTGGGAGCTGGGTGGTTTGTGCTTCTGCTGCCTGATGTGTCCTGCTGGGAGCCCCCAGGAAGGCACAGATGGGGGTGGGGGGCACCGGGGGAAGGTGCCGGGAGCTTTGCAGAAGAGGCAGGTGACATCCCCTTCGTGCCTTTGCTATCCGGGTGACAGCACAGCATGCTGTCCCAAACAGGCAGGTTTTGCATGACTTCCCCTGGCTGGGACGAGCTGGGCACCTCCAAGTGCAAGGCTCCCCCTTGCTGGATCGCCTCCAGCGCCGTCCCTCTCTCCCCACTGTCACCCGCTTGACCCAGCTCTGTCTGAAGCCACCAGCTGTGGTTAACCCTTGGCAAACCAGCCAGGCTGCCATGCCCGGCAGAGAGCCTAGCACTGCCCGCTCGCCCTCCCCATCTCCCGAGCATCCTGGCCGGGATGGTATCCCAGCAGTGGTCCTGGACCACCACTGAAAACCCTGCCCTGTCACTGCCATCTGCCGTTTCCACGACAGAAATAGTCATTAGAGAACCGAAGTTTTCTGACTGATTCTTGCAGGAACGAGACTCGGCAGCCCCAGCGATGCTGCAGTTCCCACCCAACAGCTTTTCATTAGGGGATCGCTTTGACAGCACTGCCTCATCCATTAACAAGCTGGGGATGGGGATGAGAACAGACAGCGACACACTAATTAACTTTTTTTCAGTGATGGAAGCCAGCAGAGACAAGGGGAACCACTACCAGCAGTTAATGGAACCAAGGACTCCTGGGCTCCTTTCCCTGCTCTGCCGCTGCTTCATTTTATAGCCATGAACATGATGCTGCAATGGTCTGCTCCTCCCAGAGAGAGGCAGGGAAGCCTCGACCCACACTGGTTTTAGCTGCAGGTTGCACGTCGCAGGCTGCCCTGGCAGGAGGCTGAGCCACACAGCAGCCCCAGCTCCGGGTGCTCAGCAGAGACTGGTGTGCAGGGGCAGGGAGAAGGGAAGGGAGGAGGCAAGTGGGGTGCACAGCTCCAGGCAGGCGTTAAACACGCCAAGGCTGCGCTCCCTGAGCAGGTTCATCCATCAGCATTTTGGTTGAGTGGTTAATGGCTGCAGTGAATCTGGACCAGCCCGGCGCAGTACGTGCTGAGCACACAGGGGACGGGAGTGGGTGGGGGGGAGGAAAGAAAGGTCTCTGAGTGCTGAGCACAGCCCCCTGCTCGCTGAGGTACCAAGCCAACCAAGAAGCCCTGAGCCTGCAGCAGCCCCGACACTGCCGGGAACCCGCAACTGAGTAGACGGCGCCTGGAGCCTCATCTGCTGAGTCACACCGGGGGACTGCGGCCCTCAGCCGAGCCAAGCCGGGTTTGATAGGGCACGTTTCCACCAGCAGCCTGCAAAGCACTTGCTGCTCTGCCCGGGGCCAGTCCCATCCGTGCCTGTAACACCTGCTGGGCTGGGGCCTAAGCAGTGCTGGAGGAGGAGGAGGATGAAGCAACTTTGAGGATATTTGCAGGGAGCAAAACCAGGGAACCCAGGGGAGACTCTGCAGAGCTGTGGATGTTCTCCTCAAGTCTGTGCTCAGGATCGGCCCCTGGATCAGCAGCCCAGGCACTGCTCCCTGCTCACATGTGTGGTGCCTGCTGGAGACACAGGTCCTGCCTCTGCTGTGCCAGCCAGCCCTGCCAGCCCCCGCCAGGCAGCTTGTGTCGAGTGGTCCTGGCAGCGGCGAGATCACATGTGGGCCAGCACTCCCTAACACTTACTCAGCAGCGAGAAG